GTGTTACGTGGTCAATATGGAAACTTCTTACTGATGTAATTCATGACTCAGCATATTAAAGCAGATATGTAAATGTGTGTACATTTATGTGGATGTTTATGATTGTAGGTTTGAATCACCTTTTTTGATAAGTGTAGATTTCCAGAATCCTTTGTATTTGTGTCCTGTGCCAAGCAGTGAGAGTTAAAACAAATGTATAAGTGAAAACCAGCCTGACTTGTGAGATCAGATTACTAAACTGTGCTCTTCCTTTCTACTGAGTATGATTTTTAAGTAATTTGATTATTGTTCTTTTAAACTGGCATACATTTTGCAGGAGACCATAGACAGTTCCCGAAACATCTCTGGCAGCTACTATAGTTCGGGGATTGTGCCTGTGCTCTGGCAGTGCTGCTTCATTGATGAAGGCGACTGAGGACCCAGGCACACTCAGCTTCCCAAAGCCAAGGGGAGGCCAACCCATGACTGCCCCAGGCTGGGACTTGCCAGGAGGGGCAGAGTGAAAGGCTGGCATGAAAAAGGGCAGGGAGCCTGAGAGGGCTTGTGTGATCACAGGCTAGAGGCCATGGGGGCTGTATTGTACTCTTCTGCCCCTTTCTGGGGTGTGGCACACACCACCCCCTAGTGTGCCAGGCTCCCGCCAACTAGGGTAATAGAAGGAGCTTCTTGCATTACAACTCAAACGCCCAGGGACTCTCCTGTCATAAAAACTAGCAGACAGTTCCCCATTGTTGCAGGGTTGGTATATGTTGGACTGGGAAAGGGACATTCATGTATTGGAATTCTTCTCATGCGGATAACGACCTGACAGAAGAGAAAATAACCCCTGGGTTCAAAGTTTGGAAGGAAAGGGAGGGGTGGGTTAAAAGCACCAAGGGGCTTAAGGAGATGGTGTGAGAAGAAAGGGAGTCCTTGAAGTCTGGAAGGGGTGAACCCCTGCCCCCAAGCAGATGCTTGGAAGCACCCTTGACATTGGAAGGGTGGGGTTGAGCAGCCTTCCACAGAAAAATCTCCTGCTGGTGGGTTGCTGTATGGACTACAACCACCCAGGGGACACCTCACTCGCACCTCAGTGCCAGAGGAGCTCTGTTCCTGACTTGAGCTTCGTGGCAGGACCCCGCCAGCCTGGGATCCCCGCAGCCCTCCCTTCCCCCGACAGGCGCAGGCCCCAGCCCAAGGGTGTGGGCTACCATGTGTGTCCTACCCGCCACCGGCAAGGCCGCTCCCACGTTGTTCGATTCCTGCAACAGCCCTTTGAAACACACGGAAAATATGAGTCCCCTCACTGTGACAAAACCGAGGGCAGCCAGGTGCCCCCACCTCTTGTTCCCCCCCCCAGCCTAATCTGCACTCAGGACGTGGGTCCCGAGCAGCCCACAAATGGGACTGCAACAGGTGGCCTAGGAGCCAGGACAGCACAGGCCACAGGGGTAAGAGGTTGCTCAATCTCCATCCTCCACCCAGCCCCAATTCAGCCTCAGGCACAGCAATCCTGGGTCAGCCAGGGTCTCAGGGTCAGGCCCAAGGCCAGGGTGAGGAGGGCTGGTGGCCAGCTCTGTCCCCTGCTGCTCCCCCAACCTCTATCCTCAGGTGTGGGCCTCAACCTTCGCCATGAACAAGGTGACAGCAACTCGCCACACATCCAGTGCTGTGGAGATGATAGTGGTTGTGGATGTTCTCAGTATTTCACTGAATCCACCTGGATAATCCACTGTTATTCCTGATTTACACGTGGGGAAACTGAGGTGCAGTGAGAAGGAGCCTCCTACTCAAGGCAGAATCAGGGCTTGAGCCAAGAAGTCTGGAGCACTCAGGGAACTTGGGGTGCCAGTCCTGGGACCATCAGGCTCATGAGTCTGGAACTCAGGAGACAGGCCTGAGGCCTGTGGGGTTGTCAGTGGGTGTGTGGTGAATCTGCAAGAGCTGGCTGTGGGGAAGCAGGGGACCCTCCACAGGGAAGGAGGAAGGAGAGGGGGCTGGGTGTGAGGGTCTGGTGCACTGGGAGGCACCAGTGGAGTCTGGGGGTACAGTTCTGCACACAGGGGCCAAAAGTCCTGCTTCCAAAAGTCCAGGGAGGTGAGTCCAGAAATTGGGTGGCAGACTCTGGAGACAGGCTTGATGGAAGGCGGCAGTCCCTGGGGAGTGGGACTATGGGGAACTCCTTTCTTCTCCGACATTGCAGTATTTCACAAGTGGTCTACAGAAGGCACGCCTTGATTGTGCAATAGAAAATGCTTTACTTAATCAAAACAGGCAATAT